ACCCTCCTCCGCTGCTGTTGAATAAATGCACCCCCAGGGCGGAAGGCAGGCCATCTGACCCTGCTTATCTCCTTTTACAAGGAGGCCCCCAAAGGAGCGGGTGAGCCAACATCAGCTTTGTCACTGTGCCATACTCCGGGCTCCCTGGAACTTTCAAAGGGGGGTCTTTCAGGGGCTTTACCCCCAGCAGGCTGCTGCCTCCCTCAGAGCCCATCTCCTCATCTGTGAAACAGGGGTGGGGAGGTTGACCCCACGGTTCTCAAACTCCCTCCCTTCCACCTTGTTCCTTTGCTTCCGGGGAGGTCAGGAAGCAGCCTGAGTACCTCACCCCACCATCCCTGCCCCCACCGCAGCTTCACACAGGGCAGCGCAGAAGCTGAAGCGAGGCCAGGGGTCTTTGGCAGGTGCCCCAGGAAATGGAATCTGTAACGCCGGGGAAGCAAGCCAGACAGCAGCAGGGGGGTGGGTGACGGCAGTGCCCGGCACTGTCCTCGACTCTGCCACCGTCCAGTGGCATGGTCCTGGCCCCTCTCTTCCTCGTGTGCCTCAGCCTCCCCTCTGCCCCATGGGGTGGCCCTTCAGGACCTCCAGCTCTAAGAATGAGGAACTAGCTACTCCCCCTCTCCCGTTCCTATTCTCTCCCCTGGGAAGAAACATTTTTCAACAAGGTAAACAAAATGTCACGCGGTCCTCCTCAGAGGAAGGGCTGGGGGTAAGGAGAGAGGGACTTGTCCCAGGGGTGGGGGCCGCCCTGTTCCTTCAGATCTGGGTCCCAAGACACCTAGGGAGGTGTTCAAACAGAAACTCCGGGTACTCAGCAGGAATGGTGAGGAGGAGACTCCTCTCCAGTTCAGGTAAGGCAGGGCCTGTGACACTTGCTGGCTCGCAGGTTCTACAGCCCAGCCCTGCTTCTCTGGACACACGAGGCCTCCCTTGGAACATCTGGGGGTCAAGTGCAGTGGCAGCTGCCGTCATAGCTCTGCACACAGCTGTATAGTACAAGTTTCTCAACCAGCTGGCTGCGTAGACATCAGTCAGGAACCCAGGTGAGCTAGATGAAGGGAGGACTGAGGGATGGGTACTGGATGGGGTCTGTCAGGGCTTATAGGAGACTAGAGCTTCCCTGAGGACTGGGTGCATCCTGGGGAGGTCTCTGAACATTGACTCATCTGTAGTCTCATGGACAGGATGCTCTTGGGGAGCCCTGGTAGCAGACAGCTGTTTAAAATGACCAGCCGCCCCTCAGAGAAAGATTAAGCTTTCTATTCCGTAAGGAGTTAAAAACCTCCGAAGCCCACCGGGGCAGTTCTACCCTGTCCTAGAGGGTCACTATGAGTCAGAATTGACCCCATGGCAGAGTTTGTTCATTTGGAGGTGACAGGGAGTGAATGTGGGTGGATGCGTCACCTGTCACCTCTGCCGGGTGCTGGGCCACTTGTCAGTGTGTACCTATGGGGACCCCCTTATGTGGGTCCCCATGAGACAGCTGAGAAAAGCCTTTGGTTTGCCCATTCCCCTAAATTTAAAGATGGAAAAACTAAGCCCCCCAGGTGGAGAACACCCCAATCGCCCTTTCAGCCCACCTGTGGGACTCCCTGCATTGGGCAATGCCACCCCCCCCACACACACACACACACACCAGGATTACCTACCTACTGCATCTGGCTCCGGCTGGGTGCCCAGGTAGCGCCCTTGCGCCCTTGAATCCACCAGCTGGAACTGCTTTGATTTGAGGTTCTCCAGCACCTGCTCGTAGGTCTTGACCAGCGAATGGTCCAGTGTGGCTTTGAAGGTGGCCGGCTCTGGACACGAGGGCTCCGATGTCACTGGGTGGCCCTCCTTCAGCCAGTTCCGGAAGCCGCCGTTGAGCACCGACACGGTCCGGTGGCCAAACACTCGGAACATCCACCAGACCCGGGGCGCGTAGAAGGTGCCCAGCTCATCGCCGTCATACACCACCACGTGGGTGTCGTTGCCGATGCCCAGGCGGCCCACGTAGTTGGCAAAGTGCGCCTCGCTGGGCAGCATCATCTCGTAGGGGGACGCCGTGTCCCGGCACTCCTCGATGTCAAAGAAGGAGGCGCCCGGCACATGGCGCTCCAGGTACTCCTTGCGAGCTTCCCGGGTGCCCGGCGAGTACCAGGACGCGTCCAGCACCCGCAGGCTGGGCCCCAGCTTGCCAGCCCGGACCGATTCCGCCAGCCATTTGGAGGAGACCAGGGCACGGTAGAGCAGCTGCTGGACCATGGTTTCTGCTGCCTGTGTCACCTGGCACAGGTAAGAACCAGGAAAGAGATGGGCTTGGGGAGGGTGGTGTTTGCAGGGGGCGGGGCCTGGGGGAGGAGCTGCGCCCTGCCTTTCCCACCTTCGGCCCCTAAGGTGCCCTGTTTATAGCAACGCAGGGGGCAGTTTGCCAGCGCAGTGCAGTGGGGAATCAGTTTTCAGATCCCCCAGGGAATGTCAGCTCCGCCCCTCCCACTCCTCGGACCTTCACCCGTGCCACCCAGTGCCAGGCCCAGAAGCAGATGGATTCTGAAGGCCCCAGTCCGGAGAGCTGCTTGGGGGAGTAGGGGGAGGCGGGTGGGTGGGTGGGGGCGTGGCATTTGACCTAACCCACTGTTATGGAGCGTGCTTCACAGGGAGCCTGCAGGGCACGATAGAACTGCTTAGTAGTTTCTGAGACAGTCGATCCTAACAGCAAACAGCTTCCTTTTTTCCTGCCAAGGAACAGCTGCGGGGTTTGAACCGCCAACTTTGTGTTTAGCAGCCCCGGGAGTAACCTCCTTGCCACCAGGGCGACGGTGCTTCAATACTGTTCCCAGGATCCTGCCAGAAAAGTACTAAGACAAAACAAAAACAGGCACCCCTCCAGCTCACTGCCACCGAGTTGATGCCGACTCACAGCAACCTTATAGGACATTGCAGAAGTGGCCCTGTGAGTGTCCCAGGCCGTAACTCTTTGCAGAAGTAGAAAGCCTCATCTGTTCTCTCACGGAGCAGCTGGTGGTTTCGAACTACTGACATCTCCGATGAGCTGCCCAACACTAAGCTACATCGCCGAGGCTCCTCTGCCAGAAATGAGCTGAGCAAAACTGCCAGGCCGGAGGGGGTGGCACCTTGGGCTTGGCCTCCTCTCCGGAGAGGGCAAGGGTGTGGGGGAGGAGGGTGGGTTGCACGTTGTGCCACCCACCCCAGGGACCAGGGCCCTAGCCTGGCCCTTTAGCAAACCCTCCGGTGCCCTTTCGAGAGCGGGAGCTCTCCAGCCTTCAGAA